AGAGGGGCTGGGGACAAGGCAGGGAGGGACAGGACACAGGGAATGGCTTCACTGCCAGAGGGCAGGGATGGATGGGACATTGGGAACTGGGAATTGTTCCCTGGGATGGAATTCCCAGAGCAGCTGTGGCTGCCCCTGGATCCCTGGCAGTGCCCAAGGCCAGGCTGGATGAGGCTTGGAGTACCCTGGCACAGTGGGAGGTGTCCTTGCCATGGCAGGGGTGGCACTGGGTGGGCTTTGAGGGCCCTCCTGATGCAAACCATTTTCCTTACAAGTTACCCTTTAGCAGATTGAGCTTAAATATATTGCACAGTTTTCACACAAATGGCATGAAAATGAAGATAAATTCACATTTTCAGATTATTGTTTTTCCAAGGTGTAATAAAAAGCAAAGGTCTATTATTTAGTTAGCCAAAAGCTGTTTAATAAAGTCAATAATATAATATATAATAATGAGGCTATCATAATGTGCCTGTCCTAATTCAGGATGAACCTCTATGTTCCATCTACTCTTGAGAATAATCCAGCCAAGAGCTTCCTCTGTCAGGTCCTGCAACAAGTTTATCTGACAAAAATCAGTAACTGGGAAGTGGAATAAATTGCTACATCTGGAAGATATACTAAAAGCAGGGAACACTGCAGTGTCACAAGGAGGAAGTGATTACCCAATGGTATTGTCAGGGCAGCACCATGTACAGGTAAAAAACTGAAAAACTATAAATAAACACAGTATTTCAATTTTGGCCTTAAATAAACCAAGTTCTTCCCTTATTTCAGACATTTTTGCCCCAGATTCATCACCTTCAACTGTAAATGTTGTTTGACACAAAGACTCACACAGCACTTTGGGTGTGATTCTGTGATGAGTGTGGCTCCCTGCACACTCTGGAGGCTGGAAAAACTTCGGAGGAAAAGGATTTTGATCATGTCCTCAATACCACCACAGGAGGGCACAGTGTGTTTTCCAAAGCTTTGCTTCCAGCTCGTGGATCACTCCCCTGAACAAAGGCCTTTGCAATTGTGCCATCTGATCTTCCGGGACAAACACATAAAACACATTTTGTTGTTTTATCTGTAAATGATGACGGACTGCAGCACCCATCCCCTACTCCATCAGGAGTGTGAGTCACCATTTACGTCTTTGCATTCGAAATGCAACACGAAACAAATGTTACGTAGGTCTGGAAAAAGTATTTCTTGGCAATATACGCAAAACAACACATGGGACTGTTTTAAATAGTTCGCACCTCGATTTGGGTGTTCCAGTCAACATTGCACTGACTGGTTTGTGTTGGAAGGGACCTCAAAGCTCATCCAGTGCCACCCTCTGCCACGGGCTGCTCCAAACCCTGTCCAACCTGGCTTTGGACACTTCCAGGGATTGGGCAGCCACATTGCTCCATGAGGCAAATATTGTCCTGTGTTAAAAGTCCCTAAAGTGCCCAAAAGTGACTCTTACACCATGTCACAAATAGCAATGCTCTAAAAACCCCATGAAAACGCTTTATTACCTTTTAATCACCGCTTCGCTGTTCCTTAAATTCCCTTCGAACACGTGTCGGTACACGGCGGGGACACGTCCATCTAGAACCGGGAATGATTTGGGATGGCGCCTGGATTTGGGTTTATTACTTAAAAACCGGCGGGGAGGCAGGTGCTGCGTCCTTCCCCAGCCCTGCTCGGATAGCGGCAGCTTCCGATATTCCTTCTGGAGAAGGCAGAATGGGGTTTTCTCCTGATATTCCCTCTGGAGCAGGCGGGTCGGGGTTTTCTCCTGATATTCCCTCTGGAGAAGGCAGAAAGGGGTTTTCTCCCGATATTCCCTCTGGAGCAGGCGGGTCGGGGTTTTCTCCCGATATTCCCTCTGGAGCAGGCGGGTCGGGG